TCACAATGGTTGATTACTATTTCTTACTACGTTGCTGTATTATTATCATATTCATATTCTTGTGGTCTTACTCGGATTCATTATTCGTCTTTATTTAAATTTATTATTCATTAAAATATAGTCCTAATTATTACTATACACGTTGTTTTGCAGAGTCGCAACAAAATATTAATGCGATACTGCTTTCCTTACGATTTATTATTTGAATCTATTATTCATTAGAATACGGTCCTAATTATCGTTCATATACGCTGTTCGCGTAAGGAGCAACAAAATATCAATGCGATACTGCTTTCTTACGATTTATTATTTGAATCTATTATTCATTAGAATACGGTCCTAATTATCGTTCATATACGCTGTTCGTGTAAGGAGCAACAAAATATTGATGCGATACTGCTTCCCTTACCATCTCTCATTCAATTTCGCTATCCATTAGAAAGGGGTTTTGGTTACGATTTTTATATTAAACACAACAATTGTGTTTCACATTCTTCTCTGATCTTTTACTTTTTTTCATCGGTTTGTGAATCTTACCGATTGAGTCTCGTGTAAAGGTGCGAACACTACGTGTTACCGCCACCGTGCCGGGACGTGACAATATAAAATAAATTTTCAATAAAAAAACATGCACATGTCATTATTTATTTTTATGTTAAAGCTTAATTTACAATAAGTTCTTTTTAACATCAATATACGTGACAATTTTGTTAATAAAAATTGCATCCAAGAATCGCGACATATAAACTTTTTTAATTTTTGTAAATTCTATTTTTATAATTTTTCTTTACTTTACAATTTAATTATAACTAAATATTATATGATTTATTTTACGACAATTATAGGTTTTCCCAATGATAGATTTTTACAGATTTTTATATGTGCAGAGCATAAATGCAAATTTTCCCACATAGCAAAATTTCATCCTACGGATGTCCGTGGGATGTAATGTAAAGGATTTTCAGATATCCCTGGGATGTCTGTAGAAAGCCGTAGGATATCCGTAGGGCATCCGTGGGATATCCGAATGTCCGCTTTTCAGATATCCGTAGGACATCCAAAAATAAATCCCTGGGATATCCTACATATGATTAAATTAGATCCCAACAATGTCCCCTGGATATTTTTTTTTATCCAGATAAAATCCAAATAAAATTATTGAATATAGGATGGTGTTAATAATCCGATCTTATATTCGAAATCATTTTAAAACCTCATTCAATCAACAAAATGGTTGCGCAACATTATTTCATT